CAACACTGTCACTGAAGGTCACAGGGAAGACAAAACTTTGGATTCCAATTGGCTATGGTGCTTAATCACCAAGGTGTATGGGGTCACCTGGGGCTTTTCCTGAGAGCCCTGGAGACCATAAACAGAGTCAGGACAAGAATTGAAAGCTGTGGGTATATATCCAGTTGAGAACATGAGTGGTTGATCAGAAAACTTTAAAGGCAGCTTGGAAGTAATCCAGCAGATCTGGCTGAGGCCTGGACCTAGACTTGACTATGAAGATTGGTAAGGATGCTGGAGGGAAGAGAGCAGGACTGTGACAGTGGGGTGTGGGCCTATGATCAGACTCAAACGTGACTGAGAAGTTTGAATTCCTAAATTCTCCTGAGTTCCCCCTCAGTAATAAACAGGAGAGCAGCCTTTCTTGACTAACAGCCATTTCATGCCTGTACCTGAGTCAGTTGCCTCTTAAACTGATGTGGATTTGCCTCAAGACTTATCTCCAATACCCTCCATTTTCTCTAGGAGTCTTACAAGATATCAGTATGTTTTGGATAGAAAAGTAGAAAGCCTACTTCAAGACAAACTATCCTGTCTATTGAAAATGTTAAAGAATTCCACCATTCTGTCTAGGGAGCATGTAAAGGATAGAAATATATAGCTGTCACACCAGGGAGGATGAAATATAAGGCTTTAATGGGCCAAATTCTTGAGTCAGTGCACTCACCTAGAATTTGAAATTTCAATATGTTGGCTTGAGCACTTGGAAGAGGCATCAGTTCTATGCACAACTGGTTAATCCTTGGCATACAGACAAAGGAGTCCAAAGGCTCAGATTGATCATTCATGACCTACCCAGTTTGCCCCAAGCACTCCCTGCAAGAGAACTCATTGGTCACTTCCTTCCTCAAAGCATAACAAGAGTAGGTGTGGAGGAGGCCATCAGTGTCCTTGGAAACCCCGGGGATGGCTCTCCTCTGAAGACTGTTGATGATAGTAGGGGTCACAATAATTGAATTGAGTCTTTTTTTTTTTCCAGTTGGGATGATGGAATCCCAAGACAGGAGAAGCCAAGGAAGTGCTTCATTGCTGCAATTAGGTGGGCACAGTTTCCACTGTAAGCTTCAGAGATCTATACTAAAAGGCAAATTGATCATAGAATACATGGTAGTGAATTATATGAGCATCTTCTCATATGAAACTGGAAAAAATCTTCATCCCTATCTTAGCTCAAGGATCATAAGAAGGATTAATGACTTCAGCTACTTCCCAGACCTAAATGTGTTCCTTGAAAGATGGCTATGTCTCTTTGAGACAGAACCCTGAAGAACAGGCAAGGATGTGTTTAGGGCTCTCCCCTCACACTTTCCTCAAAGGAATGTGATGAAACAGCATAAGCCATTTGTGGCCATTTATTATTTATTATTTATTTATTATTTATTTATTATTTATTTATTATTATTTATTTATTTATTTATTTTAAAGGATTTTATTTATTTATTCATAGAGACACACACACACACACAGAGAGAGAGAGAGAGAGAGAAAGAGAGAGAGAGAGAGGCAGAGACACAGGCAGAGGGAAAAGCAGGCTCCATGCAGGGAGCCCAACGTGGGACTCCTAGGTCTCCAGGATCACACCCCAGGCTGCAGGTAACACTAAACCTCTGCACCACCGGGGTTGCCCATCTGTGGCCATTTATTAGGGGACTTGTGTTATTGGTGAAAAGAATAACCTAGATCTACATCTGTAGGTGTTAATTTTCTACAATCTTCAGTGACCCAAATGCCCCTCTGATTCACAAAGTAGAGACCTATGGAGGGCAAGTGGTAGATGCATTCTTGAGCTAATTCTATACAATAGTTGATCCTGTAAAATGGTAAACCCATCCTGTTGTTATTTCTCCAGCCCCAGGATGAGTCCTGGGATACATACGTCAACTAATTGTCAGAATCTCCAAGTTTGTTCCCTATTATGTTAGAAAGTTTCCCCATTCATACCAAGATGGTAAAAAGAAAGAAATGTAACATCCTGATATAAATGGCAGAGTGTCTCTGCAAAGTGATAGACAAATTGTTGCACTAATCATACATACATAAAATGCAATTCTTCTTGGTCTACTTTTGATTTTTTTAAGGCAACATAGATTGGAGAAGCTGCTCTAACCCTCCTGAGGCTCCCTGGTCTGAGGAGGACCAAAGCAAGCAAAAGTCCTTCAGAAGGGCCAGGATGTAGTGTGAGCTGCCCTGCTACTTGGGCCTTCTGCCATGGTATACACATTGAGGGGAGATGTTAGCAAACCTTCACGGGAGAATTACAGTACATACACTGAGAACTTGGATAAAATCCCTGCCTTTTTACTCTGACTACTCATCACTAAAAGCAACTTCTGGCTACCACTGGGCCCTGGTGCATGTTGAGGACCTGATTGTGGGAAATAGTGTGACCAGGCAAGTTGAGCTGTGCATCATAAACCAAGTGCCATCTGACCAACTGATCCATAAAGTTGATCTTCTGTTATGTGGCAGTGGAAACTGGGCCCAAGCGTGTCTGGGAGGCACATAAATTGCAGGAAGAAATTGCTCAGATTGCCACGGCAGTTGTGTCTGTTGCTTTGCCACCTCTCCCTCCACCCATGCCTGCATATGGCTTTGGGAGTATATCTGGAGCAAGGCACCTGTCAAAAGGTAGTATACAACTACTAACGCAGGTTCAGAATCCTCATATGCATCATTAGACTAAATAGATTTTCATCTTGATTTTCATGGTAAGTTCATACAATAAAAGCATTTCTTTATGGTCCTGTGATCCTGAGGGGCTTATGCATGAGGTATCAGAACAACTCTAACAAGGATAACTGACCTGTGGTCCGACATTTATAAGAAAGCTGCAGTTTGTCCCTTCAATGTTGTCTTTTCCTATCATGGTGAAACAGGGTTTAATAAGCATTGGATTATTTACCTATTAATTCTGGAGACAGTATCAGGAGGGAATATAGACAAACTTGCATTGTTCCTGATCACAGGAAAGCTGATGGCACTTTCAATGTCTTCTGTATTGCAGATGTGAACTTTTCATTTGCCAAAGAGCAAAGTTGGTGGATGAAGTAGTGTATCTTTCATCTGCTTCTCCAAACCCACTTCCATGCTACTTGTCCTACTCTGTGTCCACAGAAGCTGACCTATATAAACAACATCAACAGTTCCTCTCCACTTCTGGCTTCTGGCTGGCTTCAGCCAACTGGAAGGACATTGGAAATTACAGGAAGGAAAGGGAGTTAAAAGGGAGAACAGTGGCAGTTTATTTAAGAGTGGTTTTAAATTTAGAGCAGAAGTAAAAAACTGATAAGGTAAGTTAGCAAAGGGGAGGTGCTGATGAACTAGAGACATTAATGGGGATGTGTGTTTAGGTGGTGATATGGAGCTGAAGACCAGAAGTGTCAGAGAGAGACATATGAGATGAAGAATTCAAGGGCCAGTTACCAGGGACTAAGTTCAAATGTAATGAGGCCTGAATGTTGAATGGAGAATGCTGAGAAGGTGAGGGGGTAAGGAGGAGTGGAAGACATGAGTCAGGAGCCAAAGGTATTTAAGAATGAGAAGGAGTGACTGATGACTGAAGGTGGCATCAATGAGAAGAGGTGGGAGGTGGAGAGATGGAGGCTGCTGCATCATGGGGAGATGTTGAAGAAGAGCAAGAGCCATGAATTAGAAGTAGCAGCTAGGCACAAGGCAAGTACCAACACTACCACCAGGCATGGAAATATGTGAGAGAAGAAAAGACAATACCTTTTAGTGAAAGTCTCTGGGGACATCTAGGCACCAGTAAGGCAATGTGAAAAGGGAACATAGCTAGAACAGCTGTTAGGCCTTCTTCCCTGGAAGGAGGTGGGTGGGGGCCCCTTTGGAGCACTAAGTCAGGTGTACATAGCAGCTTTCGGTACCAAGACCAGATTTTAAAACAAATTGGAGCGTCATGTCACCTTTGCAGTCAAAGAATTCAAAGATGGCTCATGAAGGGCATATTCTCAAAAATTCCCCACCTTTCAGAAGAGACACAGGTTGCCATTTAACAAATATAGATTCTTTTTTTTTTTTTTTTTTTTTTTTACAAATATAGATTCTAAACTGTAGAAAGAGCACATTCATCCTGAGAGTGCTAGGGAGAAAAATACAACTAGAAAGGTCTCCTATTTTCCAGTATTTAGTGCCCTGGGGATCTTAAACCTTTTGAAATCAGATGTTATATATAACTACCACTTCTGAGCAGAGTCCCCAGTAAACATTTTCATCTCAAGGAATCACACACAGTAAATCAAAAACTGAAGAAGAGGTAGGTTGTCTGGGGTCTAGCAAAGGTACTGATCAAGCAAAGTAGATGAGACTTCAGCTAAAAATTGGCACTCCCTCTTGCTCTTTGCTCTCATTATCTTTATCTCACATGTAACTTACCACAAAAGAACAGCACGTATTCTTTTATTTTATTTAAATTCAATTAGCCAACATATAGTACATCATTAATTTCAAAAGAACAGCATTTAATAAACATTAACTGAACCACTGGAGTCCTGTGCAGAGTGCAGAGCTGGGCGTATTAACCACAATTTTATATAATCAATGGAAGTAGCATGTACCACCTTCAAAACTGAAGATTATTATTCTAGGCTGCTAAATATGTAAAATATTATTTAAAAAGCACTTATGACTTTCTTACAGGTCAAATTTCTGCCCTTGTAAATTTTTTTTAAAGATTTTATTTAGCTTTTTGAGAGAGAGCACAAGCAGGGGGAGGGACAAAGGGAGAGGGTGAAGCAGACTCCCCGCTGAGCAAGGAGCTCCATCCCAGGACCCTGAGATTATGACCTCAGCCCGAAGGCAGATGCTTAACCAAATGAGCTACCCAGGTGCCCACTGCACTTGTAATTAATGACTTAAAAACTCCATTGAAAAACATAAATGGATAAAATGCAATTTTACATAATGTAAACTACTAAAAAACTATGACACTAACAAATTCTAAACCTTTTGTCAAGACGGTTTATTTTCTTTGATACATAAAATGTTTCTTTAAAAATTCTCTTCCTTTTCCCAGGAAGAATGTGTATTGGAGAGTATACAATCTGAATGCTGATTATTTTAACATGAAAAGTGATTACATGAAAAAATTCTAGAAGGCCTAGGAAACTGACAGTTAAACAGCACAAGCCATTTAGGTAGACTACTGCACTGTGTCTTTTCTTACAGAGCATAGCAAGATGTGTTTTGAAATATACATATTTTCCTATAGTGGAGTCTTTAGTAAGTTATTTTGTATGTCCCATGATTTTCCAGCATTCATCTGAATGGGTGTGGATGCCAAAGATCTCCACTGCAAAGCACGCTCATGGTAAACACCTTTCCTTCTCCCAAAAGTGGTCTTGGGGCAGTTTTCTATTGATGTTGGTGATGGGTCAAGTTTCCCCTAGTCTTCAAACGATGTAATCTGTTAATTCCATCCCATCACAACATGAGCAAAAAGGAGGTAACACATCCCAACTGTGCAGGAGACGACCATCATTGGGAAGCCCAACCTGAAATACAAAGAAAAGTGGATTGTAGTGTCTGATATCTGACAAGTACTATGAGATCTAGACTCATTATGACATTTGTCATCACATCATTATATTTGTCATGACTTAGGAGCTTTGTGTATCTGCAAAGTCAATTACTTCTTATCTCTAGAAACTGAAAAGTTGGGTTTAGTCTAGATGGTATAGAGGCATGCCTTCATTAGATATCCTCCACATTTTGAGACGTGCTCAAAATTCTTGTAGATTTTTAATTGACACTTTATAGCCTCAACTTGTTCATCTATAACATTAGAGCATCGGTCTTAATAATGACAGTTAAAACTGTCAATGTCATGTAACTGGGCCATTATTTAAATCTCTGCATCATCTTCCAATTGTCCTTCTGAGAAAGCTGGTTTCCCAGAAAGGTCGTATTTCATAGACCTCTGAAGTTCCTAATACTTCAAATTGAAGAGAGCTTCAGAGGTAGGATTAGGAAGTAATATCTAGTTTTAGGAAAGGAAGAGGAAAGAACAGGAATTTCTTAAGTAGTCAGTGAAATGCAAGATGTGAGTATAGGTATGCACAAATACAAAGGAGTCATGAGAAGATGAAAGCTTCCCTCATTTTATGCCTCCCACAAATCCCTAGCCTGGCTAATAAATCCCAAACAATTTCCACTTCACATTTGGAATTCATACTTTGCAGACATTGCTCCATGCTGCATTGTCACTGGAGGAAATTACTGCAAAGATTAAAGTTTTTATCCCAAAAAGCCTTCAAAATACTGGCAAGAGCCTAGTTTGTGATAGTGATAATAATAATGATTATGACATTCTTCCTTTCCCTGGCCATGGGCATGGGGAGTGGCTACTCAGGAAGAGCCACAGCAAGCTCTCCCCACAAAGCTGTAATTTTAACATGGAAACTGCATCCACAAATGAAATAGTTCCTTAAATTCTAAACCAGAATTGCACTTTTCAGGATGGTGGTAGCTTCTCTTTTGACCACATTTCTTTTACAGAACAGAAAACCAAAACAACAGATTTCAGTAAAAGTATCTAGATTTCTTGAGATTAGTAAACTTTGTTTTTTTTTTTTTAAATAGCTGAACATGTTTGCAATTGGTCAGCCTTGATAACTGAATTCTGGAAAAATACCCCCCAGGAACAGTGTCTGATCAACTCCAGGCATCACAGATCTCATTACAAGCTTTCAAATAGACGTAAAACCTTCTTGACACTATATGAGATTGTGTGACATTGCATCAGTGTCAAGTAAGATGCTGAATACTTCAGCCTGGGTGCTGGGACACCTGGCTATGTTTCAGAAACAAATCTACCTGCGAGGGATGGATTCCACAAAAAGAAGACATTACTCTTGGGGAGTCCAAGCTGAGGAAATTCCTCATTGATGGTTCTGCTGTGCTTCTAAATGGGATTTACTGGTGTCTCAAAGATGGAACCAATCCCAAGAAGGAGCATTGCCTAGAGATTGGTGCAAGCATTCTGACGCCATCAGAAAAATTATTGTTCACTTAGCGTCTAAACACCGTAGACATCCTCACACAAATGACCTCATCAACTGTTCACATCACCTTTGAGATTGGTATCATCACACCCACTGTACAGATGGGATTTGGAAAAGGAAGCAGACTTATCCAGGTAACTTGGCAAATCTGCTGTGGTGTAGACAATCAAACCCCATAAGTCTAAGTCTCGAATCCATGCTTTTAACCACTATACATTCTGCTTCCCTGTGGGTATAAGTAAACCATACAATGACAATATAACACTCAGAAGTAAGTGAACATCTGCTATTTGCTAAGGGTTTCATTGATATAAACATTGATACTTACCAAAAACAATAAGGCAAGTCATACATATTATCCCTATTTTATAGAAGAAACTGAAGTTTAAAAATATTAAGGAATTTTACAAAGTATGACAACACTAAAATGCAGATGATATTTTGGCATATTCTCTGGCTTCAAAACTTGTATATATTCCTACCACAACACATTAGTTAAGGGCCCTGCTCTTGTCCAGCTGCATGATGTTGGGCATCTCCATGACTCAACTTCTTTATTTTTGAAATGTGGGTAATAATAGTACCTAGTTACTAAGGTTACTACAAGGATTATATAAGTTCACCCCTGTAAATCCCTTAGACCAGTGTGTCTGATCACAATGAGCCACCAGAACAGAAACTGACAAGACACCCCTTTGTGCTCATTTAACATGACAGCAAGCCTCAGACAAGGTATCCAGGACTACAGAGGAGACATTTTAGTGTTCACTGAACTTCAGGAAAATAGATCAACCTAAGTCTATTCTAATACCACCTACTGTGTCCTAATTAAGGAACTCCCAAGGTACAAACTCCAGCCTAACCATTGTGAAGAGAGAGACAGAGACAGAAACAGAGAGAAACAGAAATAGAGAGACAGGTGAGACAAAAAGAGAGAGAAGGGAGAAAAGGAATAGGAGAAGTGAGAGAGGTAAAGAAGGGAAGATGGAGAGACAAAAGACAGAAAAGATTTACATCAGATGCCAGCTCTAGTATTTTAGATTCCAGCTCCATCATTCGCTAGGTGGGTTATGAATGCCAAGAAAAATAATACTCACAAAGGTATTTGTATGTACTATAATATCCTTGACCCCATAAAAGTTCATAGACTAAGGATTCTATGAATGAAAAATGTGCTTTTCCAGTCCAAAGAGAATTCACCTAGGTAAACTGCCCCTTTTCATAGATCAAGAAACAATAAACTACAGCCCCCAGGCCAATAATGGCCCCCTGCCTAGGCCAAATAAAGTTTTTGCAAATAACTTTATTTTGCAAATAAAGTTTTATTGGAACACATTCTCTTCCATTCATTTACTTATCATCAATGTGCTGCTCACAGCACAGAACAGTTGAGTAGCTGTGATAGAGACCACATGGTCCACAAAAGCCTGAAAGATTTACTATCTGACCCTTTACAAAAGATGTCTGCCATCCCTATTATAGCAAAAGACACTTAGTCCTGGAGAAGGTGAAGAAACTTTCAAATGTTCTTGTCAGCTCCCACTCAAAATAAAAGGTAGGCCCAAACCATTAGCCAAGAGAAAGGTACTGTGTGCCACTATGTAATTTCACATTTCTAGTGCCACATATTAAAAGGAGTAAAATGAAACAAATGAAAATAAATTTAATAATTTATTTTATTTTATCTAACGTTTATTTTATCTAAAATTATTATTTTAACATATAATCAACATAAAATCTCTAATGGGATATTTTACATTCATTTTTTTTTATAGTAAATCTTCAAAATCCAGGGTAGGTTTTCTATTCACTTTGACATGCCATATTTCAAGGCTCAATTGTGCCAGTGACTGGAGGCTGTGCGGTCCAACACAGCTCTAGGAGTCTCACAACTTCCAGCTAGAAAATGTGAAAATCCAGATTGATGACCTTGAGTAAATGCAGGGGATGCTGGCTCTGGATGGAGCTTTCAGAGAGAATATGCTGGAATGAGTCCTTCACAGAAAGAATAGGTTTAGACAGGCTGACAGGGGTCTGCCACCCTCTGTGTACATATCCCTTGGGTGAGCACTCATCAGGGTGGCTTTTTTCCTTATACATTTTGTAAGTTGCACATGCATATAAAGAATCCTCTAATGTTAGGGTCAGGACAAATGATGAAACTGTTTATTGGCAAATTTGATGGCAGCACTGACAACAGTGGCTACACACCTGAATAACTGATAGATAAAGACAAGGATGGGGCAGCTCCTTCTGCTGAAACTGCTAAAGTTGGCATGTTCCTTTCTGGGGTGATCCCCTGCTGCTTTTTCCTGTGGGAGTGTGGTTAGCTTGATTGGTGTTTCAATGCTTCACTTACTGCCCAGGCAGGAGTCCGCTGGAAGGAGATTTATTTGAAGATAGGGCAGTAATAACTTCCTATCACTGCCAGAAGTGCTTTGAATATACACTTTTATGGTCCACATTTACCAAGAGTAGTTTCATTTCCCAGAAGATCCATTTGTCTTGCTCTCTAGCCTCTCAGAAAAGCAGTATCTTCACCAAAAGGCTTAGGAAAAGCATATTGCTCAAAATCCAGCATCACATTATGCTTTCATTTCCCTCTGGGATTATTTTCAATTTACTCTGGCTCCAAACATCACATTCTATTATAGGAGACAAAAACACCTGAATGTCAAAGCACAAATCAAGATGCAAAATGTCAGATGGATGCCCAGACAAATGCTGCATTCAGTTTTAGGTTAAAAATGTAATTGTGATGACACACAGTACTCCAAGGAACCAAAGCTTCCATATTTCTGGGAAACTAGCTGCCCCAGAACCATGCCATTTCTGAAGGAGGTCAGGCACTGCACCAAGGGCAGAATTCCACACACTGAAGAGAGACCTGGTTTGCAGCAAAAGGAAATGTTTGCTAATGAAGTCTCCGACTTGAGTTTTAGACAGAAACCATTCTTTCTATTTATTTTTCCTTTCCAAAAGGCTTTACAACATACCATGACTATAGGTATTAATCAAAAGCCATTTCATTGTTGCCTTTCTACAAAGGTAATGCATATTTCTCAGCAGAACAGCTTTTGTTTTTATAGGACTGTGGGAGCTTATCAGAGGGATGTACAGCTTGCCCACTTTCCATAGACCATGGATATCTTGAGAGTCAGACTCTTCAGCCCCCTAACCAGTCTTCAGGTCATTCAGGGCCCCAGGAGAGAAATTGCTTTCTTATCCTCATCTCTCATCTGAAATTTGAGCAGCCCTGTACTTCATGTCCTGGATCTCTCCAGGTGACAATTAGCTAATCCTCTTCATGAAAAAAGCCTGAAGGAACTTCCTGAATCTTGGAAATAAAGCCCCATGGTTACATTTCCCAAAGAGAGAGGGGTTCCTGGTGGGGTAGAAGGTGGTGACCCACAGGGAGAACTACAGAAAAGAGAAGGCATGACTAAGTGGGGGAGGGGTGCTCATGGTGTCTTCAGAGCCCTCCCCATCAC